ACGTTATACATTATATTATTTTTTCTTTATTTTTTTAAATTATAATCCCATTTCTAAGGTTACGTTCACACTGCAGGTCAATGCTCAATTCAGATATTTTGCCCACATGAGTATTTTTGGCGTGAATCACGTTATATTTTAAATCCATCGGACTCCAGTGTGAATTCTCCACAGCACCGATGAGGAGGAGAAAACGTGACGTCACATTCAGCTGTTAGCTAAACATGGACGCTACATGTTAGCATGTCGATTCTGAAGTTGTTGTGCAATCAGAGCCTGTTCAAAAATTATCTGACATGTTTGTTTAGTTCAGGTTTATGTCTGAACCTGCCTCCAGTCRGCTGCTCCGGTGCAGCATTTTATTTTTGGAACGAAGCGACTTGCAAGTTAAACTAACTAAAGTATCGATCCAGTGACTTTAGCATCGTTTTTCATATGTTTTTGGGAACTCTGAGTCATCCARGACACGGAAAAAGAAAAGAAAAAAGACAAAACAACTGGAGCTGCAGGATTTAAATGGCGTGACTCGATCATTATTATTACTTAAATCTATCCGTATACCTCCACCTCACTGATGTAAAAGTCAGATGAAAAGAGAGTTTGCTTTTAAAAACATCAGATATGTATCTGATTCAATACCACATACTGGAAAAACCTAAATCGCATTTGAAAGAATCGGATTGTCAATCTGATCTGGGTCACATTTACCTGCAGTGTGAACTTAAAACAGTTTTGTTGCTTTATGATATGATGATAAATTAGGATTAAAAACGTTCTGAAGCAAAGTAATTCTTTCAGATGATCAGCCTAATGATTAAATAAAAACATTTATCAGATTCATCTGTGTAAAAGTCTGAATTAGAGAAGAGTAAGAGACTCACATTTCATTTGTGAACTGAGACATTTTCTCAATAGTAGTCTGATCCTGGAACAGAGCAGAGACGAACAAAAACATTTATTATTTGCAGAAAAGACAAAAAAAAAAAAAATCAATCACAACGATTCACACAACTCAATAAAATGTCTGACAGGTGCATGAATGGTGCAGTTTAACATTTTCTGAGTTAAAAATGTAAAGAAAATGAAAAAATGTCAAATACTTCAAATACATTAACAAAAAAAACAGTAACTTAAAAGTCATCTTATGTATTTAATGAAAAACTGCAGAGAGAACTTATGAAATGCTGAAACTACATCTTACTACTCTGAAAATATCACACTTWGTTTCAAGTTTAGCTGAATCTATCAGCCTGACTGAGTTGTATCTGATTGCTATCTATCATCATGATGTCATCAGTCACTTGGACAATTCACCTCCATTGTCATCATTTATGTGCACCTTCACATATTTATTTATACTATACTGTAATGTTATCAGTACATATAGTAGGGGTGTAAGAAAATATCGATACACTGAAATATCGCAATATTTCATTTCCCGATACTGTATCGATATTCTAAAGCCCTGTATCAATTTTTACTTAAGGTTTAAAATGTCAACCTTCTTGCCAACCGTTCATTTTTATGTTGTAGTTTAGCCTCTGACCA